AACAGCTGGAGTTGGTGGAAACCCTTTAACAGCTGGAGTTGGTGGAAACCCTTTAACAGGTGAAGTTGGTGGAAACACTTTAACAGGTGAAGCTGATGAATACCCTTCCACAGACTATATTTTCTGTGTTCCTCTCATTTCAAATAATGAGCAGTGATATGATTATATTATATATATTTTTTTCATCAAATGCTCTCTCATCAAGAATTATGAAGAAGTATAGTAATGCATGGTAGAAATTTTATTAATAAGGAATCAGTTGAAATAACTTGAATTGATCTTTTTTTCCCCCCACTATCAACTAGCCTTTAAGAGTTCAACATCAGCTGAAACGCAAGTATACCAGAAGCTTCAAGAGCTTCAAAAGATTTTGAAAGAATTGAAAAGTCCCATGGATAGGTTGCTAGAAGGGAAACCCGTGATAAAAAAAACAGAAGAAATACTGGAAGAGGTTAATTATGCGCAAGACATTATAACCAGCCTAAAAAACATGAAAGCTCTGGATTTAAGGTTAACTTCTAGTCTTGATGTAGAGATGAAACAACTGAAGGAACTGAAAGAACGCTTGCAAGACCAAATTAGAATCTTTCACTCCAATGCAGAAGCGGAAGATCAGTTTGGAAAGTTTCACCTGCTTGAAATCCTCGATGCTGCGAAAATTAGAAAAGAATGTCTAGCTCTCATTAAAGAAACACCTTTATCTAGTGATAATCAGCAGTTATTTGTGGTCGAGAAGATCAATTCTGTATTCCTGCGAGTAATTTCAAAGATTGAAGATAGCTCCAAAAGGAGGCATAATGTACAGATGAATGAATGTCCTGAATTTCTTGATTCGTAGAGTATTCAAGGATTGTGGAGAAAGTACTAAAAGATGCGACGATAAACCCACGACCAATGATATATAGGACTGGTGAAATTTGGGCCTGTATTTTGGTCGAGGGTCGAGGGTACCAAGTCGAGGGTCGAGGGTACTATGTCGAGGGTCAAATTTTACTAAAAAAATATCAATGATGAATAAATTTTCATTGGAAATTTTGATGAATAGGTTTTTATGTCGATGAAACGGAAAAGAGATGAAAAAATCCCCAACTAAAATCGAATAAATTTTGATATATCCCCTATACCCATTTTTCAAACCTACCACAAATACAGGGACCGGTTGTACGAATCTACCCAAGCCTCGTGCAGCCGGACCCAAAGCTTTTGTTACTTTTGTATGTTTGTATTACTCTTTTTAAAACTTTAAGTGACAGGGTTATCACAAGTCAAGGATCACGTATCCATCAGTAATTACATGTCTTTAACGTCTTCAGATGAGTATACGGAATATAGCGGTAAATTTTAATTATTATATTATTATCAAAATTGGGATTTTTGCATTTCTTTTCCGTTTCATCGACATAAAAACTTATTCATCAAAATTTCCAATGAAAATTTATTCATTGATATTTTTTTAGTAAAATTCGACCCTCGACTTGGTACCCTCGACCCTCGACTTGGTACCCTCGACCAAAAGACAGACCCTGAAATTAATAGTCAACCATTTATCATCATTTGAACACCTTCCTTCCTTTGAACAAATCGGAGGCTTTATTGTTATTTTTGTGACAATGGAAAATAATCTCATGACGAGAATCGCAGAAACATTCATCAAATTGAACTAATTTTTTTAAACCTTCCACTGTACAGACATGTTGTAAAGTTTTTCCAGTTTCACCACTTTCATGAGATGTATATTAACATAAATTTACGTTAAAATAGATTTGTAAATACTTAGCTGAACTAAATAAAGCATGAGGCTAGTCTTTAGTGATAACAAAGTTTAGAAGAATTGTTAACGGAGGTCAGTAACGTTTTCCAGAATTCACTCTAAACCAATTATAGTTGCTGTTATAGACTAACACAAATCTTTAGGACTTGCACTTGTAGTGTTCGGGTACCCTGTGTACCGCTGCCTCGTTCTCATGTAAGTCGTGCTTCAAGTGTAAATACTAATGGCGGATTAAACGAGTTCAGTGCCGTTACTAATCCAGTCTGTCTCTTTACTTATTTCGGCCATCGAACAACACATGGTGTCAGAACCGGGATTTTAAGTATCGATAAATATCTGGAACCGATAATTTGAGTATAAAGTGAATCAAGGATGCCAGAAACCTCGGAGCAAAGTGGAGCACCTACACCGATGATTAATCCTGTTTCATACCAATTTACTCCTCCAGAGGAATTCGACTTCTCAAAGCCAAACGAGTGGGGAAAATGGATCAAGCGATTCGAGCGCTTCCGCTCTGCATCTGGCTTGAGTAAAAGGGATGAAGAAAGTCAAGTAAATACRCTATTGTATTCCATGGGAAGCAAAAGTGATGATATACTGGCGACATTTGGTCTTTCGAACGACGAATCCAAGAAATATAATGAATATAGTGACCGTATCGTGGTGGGTCTAGTTAAGCAAAAGCTCTCAGAAAAGCTCCAGTTGGATGCAGACCTAACCTTAGAAAAAGCCCGGCATTAACAGCGTAAGACAGAGTGAGTCTGTGAAAAGCCAACAATCAGTAGTCRGAGGTCAAGAGGATGGAAGTCAACCTGCAAAAGTGGATAGAATCCACAAGTCTAAGTCACAGAAATCTCAAAATCACAGCCAACATCTGCATGGAAAAGCCTCTAAACAACCAGCAAACCCAAATTATCTAACCAATGATGTTTGCAAGCGATGTGGGAAAAGCCCATCCCACAAACGAACACAGTGTCCTGCAAGAGAAGCAACTTGCCGAAAGTGCAAAAAGAAGGGTCACTTCCAAGCTGTATGCTTTAGTGGAAAAGTAAATGCAGTTGAAGAGGAGGATGATGACAGCGATGAGTGCTTTCTTGGTACTCTGAGTGCTGGAAAAATTGATAATGTGCAAGTAGACCCCTGGAAGACTAATGTCTCTGTAAACGGCAATAACATTGCATTCAAACTCGACAYCGGAGCTGATGTTTCTGTGGTGCCTGACTCTATTTTGCCTAAACTAAATGCTACTCTTGGTCACACAAAGAGGACATTGACAGGAGCTGATGGTTCTAAGCTCAACGTCAGTGGGTCAATCTCTGCTACATTGAAAGCTAATCACCTTGAAACAAAACAAGAAATCTACGTGGTCAAGAATTTGAAGTATCCATTGTTGGGTAGACCTGCCATARAAGCTCTGCAACTTGTTAAAGTTATCCATTCTGTGGAAGAGTCAAACAAAGAATCTGTACATGCAAGACATCCAAAGCTATTCAAAGGCCTAGGAAAGCTCGATGGGCACTACAAAATTGAATTAAAAGATAATGCTGTACCTTACGCTGTGAACACGCCACGACGAATTGCGAAGCCACTCTTACCTAAAGTTAAAAAGAAGCTTGAAGAGCTAGAACAGCAAGGTGTAATATCGAAGGTAGATCAACCTACAGATTGGTGTGCGCCTATTGTAACAGTTCCAAAAAGCAACGGCGATGTTAGAGTATGTGTTGACCTGACCCGACTCAACGAGCAAGTTAGACGCGAACGACTGATGCTCCCATCTGTCGACGATGTGCTCTCTCAGTTAAGCGGTGCTGCAGTATTTTCAAAGTTAGATGCTAACTCTGGCTTCTATCAARTCAAGCTTGCGCCGGAATCAACCCTGTTGACAACATTCATCACACCGTTCGGGCGGTTTTGCTATAATAGGCTACCGTTCGGAATTACCTCTGCACCAGAGTATTTTCAAAAGAGAATGCAATCTGTACTTGCTGGAGTAGAAGGGACAGTCAATATGATTGACGACACACTTGTCTATGGGAGAAAYCAAGCGGAGCATGACGAGCGCCTTGAAAAAGTGCTGAGCAGACTTGAGGAAGCAGGAGTCACCCTCAATGCTGAGAAATGTGAGTACTCGAAGTCAAGCTTAACATTCCTTGGTCATGTGGTAGATGCGTCGGGTATACGTCCAGACCCTGCGAAGGTAAAGGCAATCCAGGACATGAATGACCCTACCAATGTAACGGAGCTAAGGCGGTTCCTAGGAATGACGAATCAGCTCGGAAAGTTTTCTGATAAAATAGCCGAAGTCTCAAAGCCTCTGAGAGATCTACTAAGCTCAAAGAATTCCTGGGTATGGGAAAGCCCTCAGAAAGAAGCATTCAATGCCCTCAAGAAACTTCTCTGTAGCGAAGAAGTGGTGCTAGCTCACTACGACCTGGAAGCGGAAACCAGAGTCTCAGCTGATGCATCTTCGTACGGCTTGGGTGCTGTCCTCTTACAAAAGCAGAAAGACCAGAGCTGGAGACCCGTGGCTTATCAATCGAGATCCCTAACTGCATGTGAGCAAAGGTACGCCCAGATCGAAAAAGAAGCCCTTGCCACGACGTGGGCATGTGAGCGCTTCAACAGCTACTTGCTCGGGAAAACCTTTGAAGTACAGACGGATCACAAGCCTCTGATTTACCTCTTAAGCTCTAAGAAGGATCTAGACTGCTTACCACCTCGTATTCAACGCTTCAGAATGCGTCTGATGAAATATAGTTTCAGTATTGTTCATGTACCTGGTAAGGAACTGAACTGTGCGGACACTCTATCGAGAGCTCCAATGTCTATGC